ACAAATATTTCTGTAAACGGGCACGTTTTGAATCGTGCAGTCAGATATGAGGCACAGCTCTCTACTGCTTCACCCGGGATTTCTGCCCTGTAAAAATGTGTAGAGTCATACTGAAAATGCATCTTTAACACAGATCAGTGGAAAATATTAATATTTATTTTTAGTACTTTTTTCTTTTTTATCATGATGGCAGGTGAGGCACGGCCCTTCACTGACCGCACATCACTGCATTACATAATGCTTGTTATTGTGATTATGGCAACTCAGTGTGTCTGTGTGTACATTTGTGTGTGTGAAATAAAAGGTGTTGAAGTATTTTGACAAGGAGGGGATGAGTGATAAGAACAAACAACAACAGAGCCAGTTAGAATTCTTTCATAACACAGATGCTGCTGTTGAAAGCACCCCATCTTTTGCCTGGCTGTCTAAATTTTTGCAAAGCAGAGGGTTAGAGAAAGAGTGGAGACGGACCAGGAGCACTGGGAGCACTGATTAAAGCCAGACAAGCTGTTAAAATTCAAAAAGTTTAGTTATAGAAAGAAACTCATCAGTGGCTTACATATACAAAATGTAATTGTCATATTTAGGGTTCATTTGCTGTAATTTAATTTACTATATCATTTTGAAACTACTTCTTATGCAATATTTTACAATGTCAGACAGGGCATTTGAATTTTCAATCATGCTGGAAGCAACACAGATGGGTATAGATAAAGAGATTTGTACAGTTTATTAGTCAGGTTCACAGCATGATCAGTTCACTGAGATTCATTTGTGTTTCTGTGAATCTTCCAGCTATTTATTTTACACAAACAACTGCTAGTTTATTTGAATAATGCATTTTTTTTTATTTCTAAGCATAAACATGATCAATCTGAATGTCAAGTCAGTTATTAGCAGGTTGAGATTGTGAACAGCAGAGAAGAACAAATGTTTTTAGCGTTTCTCTTTCTCCTGTGTTTGTCCTGATGATGGCAGCAGTTTGTCTTTTCAGAATGAAAGAGGGCCTTGGTGTTTGAGGACATTGAACAGTGTCTGTAGTGAAGAGGGCGCTGTGTGCAGCAAGATGATGAGGCGTGTCAGTGAAGGATTCACAATTAACTGTATTTAAATATAATGTGAAGGATTCTGACTACACAGTTCAAATGTGCATGGGTCTTCATGGGAATGATCGCTCTACACGGGTCTTAAAACAGCGCATGGTTTGTATCCACAGCTCAGCCAGAGTACCGTCAATCTATTCTGCTCTTTCTGTTGGTCTTCTGTCCGCCTCTTCATTAGTGCAGCATGTCCACAAAAGCATCAAACTCATCAATGTTTTTCTCATAAATGGCCAATTTCTCTGGCAACGAGTCCTGCAGAGACAAATTATATCATGAGTTAACAATGCATAAAGAAATATTAGTAACTAAAAAAAATAAATAAAAAAAAAAGCCTTTTATTTCTACCAGGTCATTTGCCATTGACTGAGAGCTAGTCTGTGATGAGAGGCTGGCCAGTTGTGGTGGGTTCTGGAACTCTCTGTAGAATGTGCCTAGATCCATTGGTAACAAGTCGTCTTTAGAGAATGCAGGTTTCTGTAAACACAAGTACAGAGTATTAGCACCACATTGACAACAAATAAAAAAATAAAATTATGAGATTAAGATTGAAAATTTATAGGAATAAACTTGAAACATTATTAGAGTAAAGTCCAAACACTATGTGAAACAAGTTGTAATATTTTGAAGAAAAAAGATATAAATTAAAGAGAACAAAGTTAAAATTTTATCAGAAAAAATTATATTATACTATCGTGACAGAAAAAAACATGTTACTTTATGAGAATAAAGTTAATTGTTGTTACAATTGTTGTAAAGGTTTACATGATGTGACCTGAGAAGTTTCGGCACAATGAGAACGTGGAGAATCTTCTGCAGTGTATACAGTGTATACTTTAGTATTGGGATATCTTACATTTTCTATTGTTTGTTTTACTTGTGGTGATTATTAAATTACCATAGTTTGTATATAACTGACATCGGCAAGGAAGCTGTGAAGCAAATGGAAGGCCATGGGCTGGAAGACCCTTTCCTCAATATTAGCTTATCTCAAGGATAAGGACTGTCACAGTAAGTTCTATCAAGACAATAACAAACCAACTGTATAGAACAATTGTTTAAACTGTAGAATAAAACAAAATGAACTCAATTGTGTTGGAAAACTGGAAATTAAAAACACCAACTTCAGTACTTACAAAGTCAACCATGACAAAATCATCCTGATTCCCAGATCCCTCTGAGCCCTGGGAGACATGACTGGCCTGCAGGGGTGACAGGGAGGGAGGAGAGTCTGGAGGCTGCAACTGGAAATACACAAGTCATTTTAGTGCAAAATTAGAAAAGAATTATTTAATAAATATATAAATTAGTGTTGTTATGCAAGAACTACAGTGAAAACATTTTATTTATGATTACCATAGGATCACTTTCTCCAAAGTCCAGGCCTCGAGGAGCAAATGCTGCAAATGGCAGGTCCAGACAAGCTGCTTTTATCTACACTCACACACATTAATACACACCAGGCTGTTTTAGTAAATGATGAAAGAAAATACTAACTCACTACATGTACATGTCCACAATACAAGTACATGTCCACAATAATTAAATAAATATATACTGTATATATACTTATGCATATATATATAGTATACACACACACAGATAGAGCGAGTGTAACTAACGTAATACAAATTGGAATAACATTTTCTACCACTAGAAACTGTCATTACCTGTGTGCTGGGTTTATTAACAAACGCTCCAACTTTCCTTGAAATGGCATTAAGAGATTCCACCGGGTCACAGGGACTAATACTCTGCCTCCCTACAACTTTCCTTTCTTCTTCACTCTGAGACAAACCTTTGTCGTCAGCACTGGAGAGAAAGATACGTCTTTATCATGGAGTGTCACGAAATTCCTCACGTTTACTTAGAAGGAGACATGTCAGTAAAGGTTCACCTTCTAAAAGGTGTGTTGGGGGCTTGATCAACTGTCAGATGTGTGTCTGCTTCAGGGGGAGGATGGACTGAGGTCAAAACATTGCTGTATTTCTTTCCAGAATGTAATGCCTAAAAAAGATACACAAGGTCTTTGAGAAGATGATGAAAAGTGTGGCTTATATTTTTTTTATATAGGTTGGAGGTGGGGGGGGGGTTCTCAAGGATAACATCACCTGGTTTGGATTAGCAGCAGGATGGCAAAGCTCAGCAAGAGGTGGATAGTAAACCCTTGACGTATAAAGCTAAAGGGAGTACAAGAGAAAAAGTCAATCAATACATTTAAAGGAAAAACATCAGAGATCTGACGATACATGAGGTGTGTGAGAGAAACACGTTCATGAAGTCAAAGAGAGTTTAGTACCTGAGAGGGTGGGGACGTGGAGAAGGAGGTGGTACAGACCTCCTGTGAATCTTGGACTGCTGCCAACTGACCCACATCTTCTCTGTCTGTTGCTCTGGACGTACACACACACGGGACAAATGAAACTTTGTTTCTTACAACTGTATCCCTGGGTTCCAAGAAGAGTTAATTCCGTTTTTAAGGCAAGGAATGATCACACCAAGTATTGATTGAGGTTATCTATGTCACTGTATTGATAACTTAAATAAAATTTTACTTTTTTACTGCCTTTTTCCCTAAACCTATCCCAAATCTCAAATATTTTGTACAGTGTGTACAATCAAACACTGCAAATACTGTAAATACAATAGTTGAAAATAAAGACATTAACAGTCAAGCTTGTAGCCCCATACGCAGCAGTCTTGTTTTTCCATTGCTACCTGTAATTGCAGGGCTGAGCCATGTTAGCAGGACGCTGGCCGCCACAGGGAGAATCCACAAAGTGATCCACTATGATCCCCGTGATAGGAGTTGGTCGCTCAAACTGCCTACAGAGGGTGACATATCAACAGATGACTTCTTCTGACTGAGTTGTAAATTCGACATGCCTGGAGAGCCCCACTATTATAAACACCTTAGCATTATGTGTCTACACAGTCAAGAAGCAAACTCAAATATGTCATATAGTACAATGTGTCCAAAAACTTCTAATTCTAAACAGTTAATAATATAAATATGTTTTCAAAAACAATAACTGTTTTTCTTTGGATGAAGTATGATAGTCACCTGTTAGACATGAAAGCCAAATTGGTACGGTAGGCACAGGACAATGTGACTGTGCCCACTGGAGTGCTGACCACACCAACGCGCACTGTCTGGAAACCTTAAAGAGTAACAACAACATTTTAAGTCATTTTACTCTATGTGTATTGTTTAGTCTCCTATTAATTAGTATAAATTACCATACTTCAAGAACAGACCTGTTAAAATACAACTGGATAAAATCTTAGTGGATTAGCAAAGTAGACTTTTAATGGTATTAGTCAAGTAATTTAGTTTGGCCTTTTTCCTCCTATCAAGGGTTATTCCAGCATTAATGGACATAATGATTGTGACACCAACTTCACACTGGTAAAATAAATAATCTGTCTCTGTAGTTACCTTCCCCTAATCCACTCAGCTGCACTTCCCCAAAGTATATTCTAGAAGAGTAAAGAGAGCAGTCAAAAAAAGCAAAACACTCAAATACATTTTCACTTGTAAGAACAGCACAGAAAGCCACTGCTGATAAACTGTAACAGAACTAAGCACCTGTTACTAGATGGTGAGACAAATAAACATGCAGTAGGAACCAGAGAGGCCTCTCACCTGTACAGCATGACAAAATCATGTCCCTGCTTTCTGGACAGTTTGTAGGCTGGTGTTACTCTTGTGACAGCCAACAGAGATTTAAGGAGGACAGACAGACGGTTGTATACCGTATAGGACACCTTGATGTCCTTATCACACCTACGGCAGACAAAGACTCATTACAAATGCACAGACGTTTTCCATATATTACAAAAAAAAACTACAATTTATTGTTGAATAATTTTGCTGTACAGTGTTACACTTAGTCAGTCATGGCTAGTCGTGTTTTAAAAGGTGTCAAGGAACAGTGGTGGAGAACATGACAGTGGTTAAAGAAGCAGACTTGTGTTCAGAAGGTCACAGGTTTTAGCTTGAACTGTCCCCTCAAGCTAAGATATGGACTGAAAATCATATCGATATTTTTTAGCTGAACTTGATCAATATTAATCAGATAGATATAAGAATTAAGAATGAGATGCTCCAGAGATACATACACTGAAAAATTGGGTCAACATGACAATTATGATAGTTACTCACTTCTCATTAACTTCCAGGCACCAAGTCTCCAATTCCATTGAATCACCCTGTATGAAGCAAAAATAAAAAATAAAATATGACTAAGTGAACATAATCTTTTTGGAATATTAAAATAAGAATTTTTGAAATATCTGGTTTACAATTAAAAGTTGCAGATAATCTTTACCTCAGAAGTCTTTAGGGAGATCTCAACACACATGGAGCGTCCCATTCCTGGGAGCTGGCCAGCCAGGGCCTTCTTAGCTTCATGAGTTACTTCAGGTATGTCTTTTATTGCCAAATTGAACTGGAGACAAAATGACATCAAACACAAATTATTATACATTAATAATTATACATTAAGAAGACAAGACATTTTGTGCTGTGTGCTCATACAAACAGCATGGATATGGAGTAACAGAAATGGGATTAGGTGTGAAAAGGGTATTGGTAAATGCGCATTAGTTGAGAAGTTTGTCTGCTTGGTATTTGATAAAAAAATTGTAACAAAATGACTACGTATTTTCCGAATATAAAAAATGTATTTTTTACATTACATTGCTGCAGAAATGCAAAATATACAACATTTTGGGTTACAAATCAAGTGCACTATGATTATTACTACTGAATACCCCAAAAACAAAAAAGGACATGCTATATTTACCCAGTCCGATCCTGTGGGTGATGAAAATGACCGAGTGCTGATTTTCTCTCCAAGACGGGCTTGGACAATCACCTGCACAGTCTACAGACACATACACAGAACTTGTTCAAAAAAGGCTATTTGCAGGATAATGTACCCATGATGCACATTCTGTCAATAGGTTAAAAAAAATTCGTCATTATGATAATGTTTTGTTTGAAGCCCATAAACCAAGTGTACATTTACTTTGGTCGATAGTCAAAATGGTAACTACGATAATCAAAAAACAACCCCTTTAATACCCCCCCGCCCCCCCAACAGAATTACCTTCAGGGCAAAGAACTTGATAAACTTGTCCAAATCCCTCTTATCCTGGGGACTTAGTTCACTGTCCATTCTGACGTGAACCTGTAACCAAGCAGGAAAGGTGGTTAAAATGAACAAAACAAACAAAGCGCAATTTCTTGTCGCCGTAACGGAAAATATACTATTAATAACATTTTAAAGCATCTTTTAAGAATACGTTAGTGCTACGAGCTATGACGTAGGGCCTCTATGTTGGTATAAAATTGTTTGACCACTGTCACAGACAGTCATGTAACATCGCAGAATTATGTCTGCTAGTTAATGTCATTAGAATGCTTGCTCAAATAAACGAAAACAAGTAAAAAGATAAATCGACATTTACAAAACCAACAAATAAAAACCGATACAGGACCAGTGGCCAATGCTAGAAAGCTAGCTGGATACGTCGAACGTTAGGTTAATAAAACAAACTTACATTACCTTTTTTCCTGTAGCATAAAGGTAGCGTAAACGTTGCGTTAAAAATCCGAATAAATTAATAGCATCGACAACGCTGAAATAAGAAGACGTAAACAAAACTCATGTGAACGGCTGCAGCGCTATACCTCTGTTTTCCCCTCTGACGTGTTTGGATGGCAGTCATTTCACCAATGCACTTTCGCTTTTTTAAAACTTAAAACCTAATAGGCATAGTGACATTTCGGTTTACCTTAATGCATTTATAAAACAACGCGTATTAATGTGGATTTTTTAACATTGAATATAACGCGTAAAATAGAGAATATTGAAAACCTCAAATTTCTCGAATATGTTAATGTGATCGATAAATTGTGTTCTCGTGGTTTGTTTTGTTTTGTTTGACGAAAGGCAGAATGACTTTGGTAAAGTAACCGCCCGTTTACACTTTTCACTCAACTACGTTGTGTGAATCTTTTATAACTCGAAAGTACATGGAATGCAATGCATTTGTCAGAAAGCACATAAAAACGCGGTCGGTGTTGATGGCATTTGAAATGAGTAAAACGCTTACTAGCTTGTATTGCAGAGCTCGTTGATTTGATAGTCTACCTTCCGAAGGCTTTATGTTGTTTATTCGTTCTTGTTCTACTTTGCCGTAAAACAGGAGACCTAATATACCCTTAAAACATTCCTTTTAGCCTTTGATATGAGATTGAGATGTAACGTTAAGGGTGCTAATACATAGACCGTTGTTCATGAAGAATTCATAAGGGTGCTAATACATAGACCGTTGTTCATGAAGAATTCTACGTGTAATTGTACAATTGAGCAAAAGGATTACCAGTTGGTTTGACACTCATCATTACATTTAAAAAATAAAACGTTTTTTTTATCTAAATGTGCGTTTTATTTGTGTATAGATAAAATAATAATAAGAGCAAAACATTCACAAGTCAATTTCTCCATAGATTACTTATTTCTATCTGGAGGAAATATTGTAAACATGAACAAACTAAATTCTTAAGTATACAGTCAGTACAACTTAAACTATGTAAGTGCATGTAAGTTACACAGACAGTAAATAACATTAGTTATTTACTGCCATTATTTAGAATATGAAATCACCTAATCCCACAATACATATTTAATTTTTTTTTAAATTGTTTCTTTTTAGTTTGGTGGCAAATTCAAATAAAAACAACAGATTTGGAAAATCTTGGAATGGAACCATAAAACCCACAGTATGGCCATCCCTATTGCTATTCTGGATTGTGATCTACTTCTCCATGGTCGAGATCATAAGGCCCTGGAACGCTTTGACCTGAATTCTGTGTCTGACGACTTCCTGCTTGCACAGTTTGGCTTTCCTCGAGATTTTATCCTGTATCTGGTCAAAATACTGAGTGAAGTAAGTTGGTTCTCAATATTGGCTTCAAGTGTGGACATAAATAAAGTGTTTCATTTGTATTCTACTTTTTCACAGGATCTTTGTCGACGTACTCTACGGTCCAGAGCCATCAGTCCTGAGGTCCAGGTGTTGGCTGCCTTGGGCTTTTACACTTCAGGCTCATTCCAGACATCTATGGGAGATACTATAGGAATCAGCCAGTCCTCCATGTCAAGATGTGTATCCAATGTGACCAAAGCCCTCGTGAAAAAGGCCCCTCAATTCATCACATTTAAACAGTATGAAGACTGTGCCACTTACATAACATAACAGTTTTTTCGAGATCCATGGTCCTACTAAGGACCTGGGAACGCATTTAATGGTATTACTAAACCAGGATTCCAGATAAAGATAGTTCTTTTTAAATTACCGCTATTTTAAATGCCTGCGGTACCTTCACATTGTAAAGCTTTGTTAGAACTGGGTCTAATAAACAAGTCATAAGGTCAGCTCAGAGAGCTGCTGTATATAGGACTGAAGTAACTGTTGTCTAAGCTTCTTTATTGGTAAACATACTGGCACAGTTTGTAGCAATGTGTGAATTATTTATTTCCAAATTGTAGTTGTATTTTATTAATGTTTATTACAATAAAGAGTGAAGAAGTTACATTTGACATGTCTTTTTGCTGGTTGGTCAGTTTCAAAAGAAGCAAAGCAACATCATTTTCAATTTTGCACTGAAGGCACCATGGTCGTCATCTTTCCATTTTATAAAATTGTATTTAGTAACTGCCAGCGTTGTATGTTTTTTTTCTCCTTCTCTTTCCAATAATATTTTATGTTTCTTGCAGTGATTTTTTGAACAGAGAGCTGACCTACCAGAACTTTCAGAGAATTGCAGGATTTCCAGGTGTACTAGGAGTGCTAAACTGTGTTCAGGTTTGTAAGAAGATGATGTGTAAACAGTTTGGTTTGCCATGTCTTTTCGTTCATGTACACACTCTCTCCTTTTTACAGATTGCTATTAAAGCTCCAAACAGTGGAAACCCTTCATATGTGAATAAGAGAGAGTTTCATTCTGTTGGCTGCCAGCTGGTGTGTGATGCTCAGGGACTGTTACTTAGTGTAGAAACCTACTGGCCTGGTGGACTCAACGAAACTGAAGTCCTAGAAAAATCTGCCCTCTACAAACAGCTTCAAGGCATCAGCGAGGGCTGGCTGCTGGGTGAGACGAAGTCCCTGTTGACGATTATTTAAGGTTTATAACATAGTGTTTATGTAGAGTCGTTAAATGTCTTTTCTTTCCAAGGTGAGTCTTGTTACACACAGAGGAAGTGGCTGATGACACCAATCGACATTCCAAAAACCCAGGCAGATTTTCAGTATAATCTTGCCCATGCTGCTACACATGAGATCGGGGACCAGACCTTCAAAGCCTTGCAGACCAGATTCCGGTGTTTAGACAGCACCAAAGGGTACTTGCAGGTATTCCATAGTAGTTTCTGTACACTCTACACTATTTTAGACTTGATTGTGTTTTTACATATGGCTTGAAAACCAGCATGTCAATATTTCTGTGCAGTATTCTCCAGAGATGAGTTCTGCCATTCTACTGGCCTGTTGTGTCCTTCACAACGCCTCCCTAGAGTCTGGACTGGCCTGCACTCTGGAGGAGACAGAACCGCGAGAGCAACACAAGAGTGTGGAACAGAGGCATGACGAGTGTGACAGCGAAGGAGAGGAGCTTAGGAGAAAGCTTATAAGCAAACACTTCAGTTAGAAATAGCATTCACCACTGGTGGACCCCATCAGTACAACTGTTTACACTTGGCATTAAATACCTCCTGTTATGTACAAATGTTCATAGAATTATAATTGTAATATATAACCAAGACAATCCTATTAAAAAAGAGAAATACACAAGAGACGTGTTGCTGATGCAGTTTTAATATTTTGCTGGATTCTACTCTACGAGCTACAATAAGATTAATATATAGAGAAACATGCAAGAAGAGATCTGTACAAACATCCACCGTAATCACACACATTTTTAAACCAAAGGTCCTCAACTATTTTTCTGCCACCGACTGGTATCATATAATCATCTTACAAACCAATCATTGGAAGGAGGTGCATGATGAAATGATGATGTATGACGAAAAGATGCAAACCAATATAACCTGAAAATAAATTACAGTAAAGGTGGACTGTCGGGATGCTGAATGTCACACCTCGCAGTGACGGCCTACAATAAACCCACACTTTAGTAGGACAGTAACTGCATTCCTTTGATTTTGGGCAAAAACTGTAGTTTTAAGTACTCTAACAGGTAATGAGACGTTTGTAAAGGTGAGGAATTCTTGTTTTTTATTTTAAAATATACTCATTTTGCAGTGGAGATCAATTAAATCCATATAATGTAATAATTTCCTTTCTGTGTCTGATTGGAAATGACCAATCCCCAAGTTTTACTGCAGGGTCCAGGTGTTTGAGGACCCCTGTTTAAACATCTCTAGGTGCCTGTTATTTTGTCTGAATTTTATTTGCGTGAACTACAAAGACTTTCTGTTTATTAAAAAAAAAGCCTTAGTAGGAATGTAACGATGCATCGTGAGTCGGTTAAAATACGATTCAATTTGTGATAATAGCATCGGTTGATCTAGAAAATGACTAGCGCATCAAGGCGTAATGGGGTGTTCACACCAAAAGCGATAGGCGTGGACTGAGCAGCAGCTGTGGTCCAAAAAGACCAGGTGGCGCTGTGTAAGCATTACAAGATTTTATTTGTCTCCTTTCTATCTTTTTTTTAGTGGGGACCTACCATAAGTGATGTTCAGGTGTTCAAACAGAACGTGTTTTAAAGAAAGGAACTCTTTCCAGTTATACATTTTTATATTCTTTTGTTGTTGAATATATTGACTGTTAATGAGGTAAATCAGATCAGACCAGTTTGACTTTTAATACGAGGAGATACATGGGGATGTGCAGTGTTTCTGTAAAGAAATTAGCATTATTTGGCATCTGTTATTTAAGATAACAATTTCAGTTTATGAGGTACACTAGACCATTTTAGTTGGTAATGGTATTTTGAATAGTTCTTACAAATAAAGCACAATCTTATTCAATTTGTCTGGAGCTCATTTTGTATAAAAATTGTGATCACCTTATTACATTGAAGTAATTGAAAGTCTAAGAGAATTTTTATTATTTACCTCATTTGCACTGGTACGGTGGAATAAGAAGAAGTTGAATAATAATTTGAGCTACAGTATGTACATTTATTTTTAAAATAAAAAAACTTTATCTTTTTACTACTAACATTAAATTTTCCATGTCTAGATTTTTATTTTCATTAAAAGATTTGAAATTATTATTTAAATATTTCTAATTCAAAATTTAGTTGAATTTTATGAATTTTAAATTTTTTAAACAATATATGTATATATAGGTTTTAGGATTTCTTTATGTATGAGAAACAAAAAATAATTAACGGTGACAAAATGTATCATTTCAGCAATTTACACCATATAAATTAAACACCATATTCTTCCTCACAATATCTTCATGATAACCTTGATTTCACAATATATTTTTTTTCTTTGATGCTCAGAATATATTATACTAAATACAATAAACTAACCCTAAAAAAAAAATCAAATCATGCAGCGAAATACACAAAGCACTTTAAGACTTTTAAATGAATTTTGGACAATATTCACAATAATAAAATGTAGGAAAGGAAGCTGAGCAAAATGTGTCGCTGAGTTTGTGTTAAGTTGCACGAGTTAAAAATGGTTAGAAGGCACTCACGTAGCTGTGGTTATGTTTTTTAAAACAGTGGTCCCCAACCTAGTTTGTACCAAGGACCGGTCAGCTGGTGTCAGATGTTACTGTGGTTACTGTAATACCGCACCATCATTGAAAGATCGTTACATTTTCCAAATGACCTGTTGTTGTGAAACATTAGCAGATTATCTTTGAATGAAAAAAGTAAAGGGATATGACTAGATACTTTTTGAATGAAGTAAATTAGTAAAACTGAAGTACATATTTTCACTGCGGCCCGGTACCAACTGATCTACGGACCGGCACCGGTGCCTGGACCAGTGGTTGGGGACCTCTGTTTTAAAACATTAATGAGAATACTGTTCTACAGACACCCTTTGAATGTAAATGTACTAATGTGGATTAATAGAATGGGCACATAATTAAGCAGCACTGTGGTGATATTCAAGTTTGTATAATTGTTTGACTGAGTAGTGAAAACTGCACTAGTCTTTACATCAGCTGATTGGGATTGGCTCAGTGGTCAATTAGCTGACATCTTGTAACAATACAAGATGGAAAAACAAATTATTAATGACCATAATGACACTTAAACTTGACAAGTGTATAATTGGTTATGTATGAAATTGTCTGGCCTTTGCATACGTCTATATACTGTATGTTTGATTCTTTTCTCTGCAGTTTCCTTACACAGTGGAGCTGTCGTTTCTGGGATGTGAATGGTTAAAAACAATGAAAAGTGTTTTCCAATTTTCCAATTGAAATGCTTAACTAAGCAGTAATGAGGAGCGTTGTAGTTACACTGTAACATGTGACATTTTTAAATCATAGGTGATGCATGGGATGAGTTTAAAACATAGTACATTTACATTCGTCAGGCAGAGAAGGTAAGTGCTGTGGCTGTGGGAGCCAGAATGTGATGCTCTGCTTCTGTCCAATTGTATTTACAGGCATATGATTTAAGATATCTTAAATATTTACAATAGGCCTAGAGGGGTCAGAGCTGGAGAAGAAGAGAGGTCGTGTTGTCGGCTAGAAAAACTCTGAGACTTGGAGTGTCTTTGTTTGTCTGTCGACACAGGAGAGAAACATGAATATCAGTTTGCTCTATAACCAAGAGAATAACAAAATCATTTCAGTGCCGCTGGGCAGTTTTGATCTCACCTCAGGTCTACGTCCGGCACAACTGTGCGGTTTTTCCTGGCGTCAGCAGTAAAATGACTGGTGCTGTAGTTGATTTCTGACGGTAGCCCACCCCCCTTTGATGTCAACGAACCCTCAGTGAACGGGGATTCGTCATTGTAGGACAACAGGCTACGGGACCTGCCTTTAACACAAAAAACACCTGTAACTCCTGAGTTTCTGCCAAAAAAGCCTCTTCAACAGTCCGTACCACAAATGACAGAGTCTACTCTCTATGATGCTTAATGACACCACAAACACAGCAGTCAATGTGCACTTTAACAAAGACACTTTCAAAAGAAGATTGAAAATGTTTACAAAGTACAAAACATTTGGGAAAAAGGAGTGAAAATCTACGTACTAAATGTCAGCATCGAGAAACCGTCACTCAAAGTCCAAATTACTTTTCCATAAAACTCATAAAACAATTCTACACAGACCAACACACAGCAAACCCCCCCCCCCAATTCATATAGACATGGTTCCTACTAACCTTTGACCTACACACAAATAATATTCTATAGATGTCTACTTGCAGTTTCCTGTTATCTTTAGCATAAAACTTTCTTCAGTATTCAGCCAATGAAAGCTAAATACCAGGATTAAATAGAATGAAAATCTTATCTAGTTCAGCTGCCTGTCTGAGGAACCATTGGTCAGTCAATCTAGCCTCTTCAGGGCCATGTAGCCAGAGGACGTATCTGACAACTCACCCCTACTTGTGGTATAAAGTTCTGCTGATGGAAGAGGAGAGGACGGAGTGAAACGGGACGAGCTTTGACCATTTTTAGAGAAGGAGAGAGGAGAAAGGCAGGACGAGAAAGAGCCCAACACCAGGACAAAACATAGCGCCATCATCTGCACAGAGAATGGGAAAACCACAAAACAGTTATTACACCTCTGATAGGGCTTTCCAGTAAAAATTCACTCTTCTTTGTGCTAACATCTGCGTTTCTAAGCTGATTAGCACAATGCTGATGTTTTTTATGTGTGGCAGTTATAACACAACTTACCATGAAGCATGTCCCTGTCTGAGTCGAGGCTGCTTTAGAGGAACATAGAACAACTCTCCCTTTGATTAGTGACTGCAGCTTGTGAAGCTGCTGAAGAAGAGACCTGCAGAGAAGACAACAGTAGATCATCTTTCCTTTTATTGTCATTTAACCTGACAATCCCATCAGTTCTTCTTAGCCTGCACTGCCAACAGAATTTACTGAGCGGTGACTTCGTACTTAAACACATACTGATGACTAATGTACTATAAAGACTATAAAGTGTTACATAAAAATCAAGGTCTAGGCCTTTATATCACTATAAAGTATTCAACTCTGTTCACTGCATCACTGTGTTCACATTTAAAGATGTCATTTTCATTTAAGAAATGATATATAGACTAAAAGGTGTTATGGAAATGAATTGAATTCATTTTAAAGCCAGGCTAAATAGACAGGTCTTAGGTTTGCTTTCAGAAGTGTCCACAGTCTCTGCCGTTCTCAGACTGTCCCACAGACACTGTCCCCAGCAGATGTTTTGGTTCTAACTTTAGGAATGCTAACACGTCATTCCTAAAGTTAGATCCAAACTTAAGAGGATCAGGATCCGATCAGGACCTGTAACTGTAGAGGGGCCAAAGCTTTTCTTAGAGAAACCAGAAAATGTTGTGGTAATCAACTCAACATGTGATAAATGAGACTGTCACTATGTACAATACAACACAATACAATACAATACAATACAGACTTTATTGTCCCACTCAGGGATATTTTTCTCCACAGTAGCTTGATTGCTAATTCTCCTCTCCTGAGTGGCTTTGGATGAAAGTGTCTGCTAAATGCACAAAAGTAAATGTAAAGCCTTACTTGTTGGCTGTCTCCAGTTTTTCTACTTTACGCCACAGGTCACTTTTTTCTGACGTGTAGGTTTCCACCCTGAAGTGAGCACAGACATAGGCACGACAGGAAGACACAAACAGGAACACGATGTAAACAGGAACACGATGTAATGCACTGTTCCAAAAACAACTGGTCATTTTAATGAGATATATATGTATGTATGTATACTGTGTATATATCTCATTAAAATGACTTATTTTATATATAATGGTAATGGCCGCTTAAATAAATGTATTTTAGTAAAGTAAAGCCCACCATGTTTAAGCCTCCATATATTTCACCCATTGCCATCATAAACTAGGCAACCTAGGTGGAGGTGTCCAAAACACAGAATAATTGTAAGTATAGTAAGTTAAATATAAAATTGGCTGCTTCAATTTTAGGGTGAGATGCAGAGTTTGAGAAAGCAAGGCAGAGCAATCAAAACTGATGTGTGTGTTTAATGCACGTTTGAGGCAATAAATAAATAAATAATAATAATACTAATATTAGGGTCCATTATTCATCCCACAGTGGGGAAATTCAAAGTGTGAGTCTTTGCAACAGACACAGGCTGCCACAGGAGGCGCCATTAGGGATCTGTGGGTGCTCTGGGAATCAAACCCAGGCATGCTAACCGCTACACAGCAGCCCCAACACTGGGTTACTATGTGACCTCTGCACAATGGAGGTCTGTTCATATATATCACCTGTGGGGGGGGGGCATCTATAACCCTTTATAGCAGCAGCAGTGCAGAGAAATGGATTAAACCAATCATCTTTAACTTTAAAACCAACTCCAATGAACAGGACAAGGACCAAAATACAGGGCTACTGTTTCTGTGACACAAGGTAACTGAACATCATGATTAAAGGAACAAACCTGAATTCATCATTTGATTATCAGTCAACCGTATAGTAGTACTAGTAATAGTAGCATGATTATCTGAGGTTCTTTGGGCATTTAAGAACAAAATGTTTAAATGACAGAGACAACATTAAAGAAATGGAAGAGAACAGAGAAACGTTGAGAGTTTTTCAGGCCTCACCTTTTTTCCAGACATTCCACGTACTCCTTTTTTTTCCTTCGACTCTCCTGAGCTGAAATCTGCAAACAAATCACACAGAACATTGACTGATGTATGTAGTATTATATTGGTAACTGTGAAGAGGTACATACAGTGGTTTCATTTATATTTGTAAGCTTAAATTACAACTCACAACTTAAGATTGACGTGGAATATTACATTGTTTTTAGATAATGAAACCAAGAAGAAGAAACACCATCAAACAGTAGAAGCTGTTTGTTGTTATTTGTTACAGTCTGAATGACAGAAGCTTCTGAAAATGTGCATTTGACACTGTGTGAACTAAAATGGAAGGATGAATTAAAGAGATTTTCTGCTTTTGAATATGATATTAAACAATGACGTCCACAGAGGGAGGCTGAATTAACCAGGTGAGTTTGTCTATCAGACATAGACAAACTCACCTGGTTAATTCAGCCTCCCCTCTGTCATTGTTTTGTCATTGTTTTGTCATTGTCTATCAGACGTCATTGTTTTGTCATTGTTTTGTCATTGTCAGGTTGACTGTGGCCTCTGCAACAACAGGCTGTTCAAGATAGAAGCTTCCTTTTATGGGGACTGTATCAACAACAGATGAATGTGTAGATGATGTGGACCTGGACAACTGAGAGACATCAGCAGATTCATTCCAGATGGACATGGATGTGCAATTGATCAACAACGCTGGCTCCAACAGCATTAGGATTGAACAGTCTGTGGCAGGGGGCCATCCCTCAATACTCCTGGAGCAAGCCCAAAGAACACATTTGGCCTAGTATTGAAAGAATTCATAACCCAATTTACAGTTACGCAAATGTGTTAATATTATCAATAAATACTGCAAGAGTGAAAAGCAAATGAAAAAAGCGCCACTGGAGCTGGAACCATACTGGGCTGAAGAAGACAACCTAACGTTTTCTGGAGATTCACTTTGAGGGAAGAGAATGTGTCAAAGAGGCGCTCCGAACTTTAGCTGTGAATACCAAGGAGTGTAAATGCAGAGATAGAGCACATCCAGCTATCTGGTGGCCAGGCCTGTGAGTCTACTGACCAGCTGGTGGACAACTATAAGATCAGTTACAGCATAGACAAAACACTATGTGTCCACACCAGTGCAAGAGAACTGTAGAAATGTGACCAGTGGGGCTCAATATTTCCTTCAAAGAGAGGACAAGATGTCTCCTCTATAAAACACATCTCCTCCTTATGTTGGCTCACATCAACACGTCTTCTTCATGTCTTGTTGTGGTTCATATTCAAAGAGATATTTAGTCATGATCTGACACCAGAGACAGCTGTGTCAAACGCAGTATGGATCTAATTGGCTGTCAGAAACCACAGCTCTGGTGCCAGAAAAAGCTCTGCCTTCAGACAGGGTTTGATTCCCCTCTGTGGTTTACTCGTGGTTACTTCTTTTGTTCACACAGTGTAACGACCAAACACAGGAACAGATGTTTTTTCATCAATACTCACTAGATTCTGAAATGCTTTTAAAATAATTTTGAAATAAATATTTGACAATCATTTATGACTGCTACATAGGAGCTCAGTTATCCAGGTCCAATGGTCCAAAGCAGACATGTTGAGGACAGCTCTTGCCTCTAGTGGCCCGCTTTGGGCATTTAATACTAATACCGCAGCTACTACTACAGTTTATATTTTGCTCCTTTGAATTTTCGCACATGAATCTATTTGAGAAATATAAAATTATTTTACAAGCATACATATAATAGTAAAAGCAAACAGGGGTTTGCCTTTGCATCATTTATAAATCATGCAGCTTAATACATTTAACGTGGACAGGGCACATGTTTGCAAAGGCTAACTTGAACTCTGATAGCAGTTGCGGAAACAGTTAGTTGTTGAATATGAAGCAAAATAAATTACCTTATTTTTAATTTTGCGCCTGACCCTCTTCAGTGCCTTTTCTTCACTCTTGGTGAGTGGGAGTTTGTTGGGTATGGGGTAACCCTCAGCAACCAGGGTCCTTTTTTCTTCATCTGTCAGTATGAGAGGTCCCGATCCCTGCAACTTCTACAGAGTTCACAAAAAGGTGGAGTAGTAAATATTGTTCATTTATTTTACTATTTTGTGTTTGTCAGCTTTGTTTCTCTTGCCTTACATGTGAATGTATGTATACATTCGACACAAATACTGTACATCGCTGTATATCGGATAGTACTGTAGTAGCAAAATGAGTTCGCATTAACTTTGCATCAAAGAACTAAATTACACCCACATCCCTATAAATTCTGCAAAGAACTCCGTGGTTACCTACAGTTGTCATTTACACTCACATCTGGAGCAGTGAGGAAAGGCGAAGAAGAAATGGCAGAGGATGAGGAAGAGCCACGGCTTCCTGACCTCTGCTGCGACTGAGGAGAGGACAGAGGCAGGGGTTGGTTAGGGGAAGACGGAGGGAGGGAGCCATCACTGTCGCTGTGGTTACTGTTGGCCGGAGTGGGTGGGAGCTGTAGAGCATCATCTGGGATATGGGCAGTTTTGAATGTGGGGAAAAGGTAATATATTAGTGTTGTGAGGTGGTTGACATTTGTGCAGAAAGTCGTATTAAACATATGTAAATTGTGTTAGTTTGTACCGCTAGGCACACCGAGATACTGTCCGATCTCTTTGGGTTCGTCTTTTATAGGCAACGGCTTTATATTCTCTGACATGTACGCCTGCATAGAAAACAAACACAGAATAGTAGAAGGAAAGGTCAATAACAACACTGTTAGGCCTCACATACTCCACTCCAAAGTCAAAAGACTTCGACACAGACATTCATTTGTCAAGGTCTCTTTTTCAGTACATTTACTGATTTCAGTTTAGACCAGGAGACAGTGATTTGTTGATGTTCTGTCAATGCTCACCATGTGTTTCCAGGCAGGTCCTCTGTGTGGAGATGCATGGTCTAATGTTAGAGACGGGCTTTCCAGAGGTTGGGGATCTAGACTGTGACCTACGTCTGGTTCTTCTTGTTTCACCAAAATGGAGGACAGGTCCTGACAGAAACTCCATTCAAACTCTGCAAGGAAGACACAAACACACCTACATTGACAGTTCACGCCTCAGTTCAAGGTGCAGGCCAGGGGTGTCAAACTGATTTGGGTTCAGCCATTAAGTCAAGTGGGCCAGACCAGTGTAATCATATAAAGAATACATCCATGTTTCCCCCCTTTGTTTATCAAAATGTTTTTGTAAATTTTTTTCAATTTTTTCAAAATTCATGAGGCGGGCAAGATTGAACCCCCTAGCGGGCCATCTTTGGCCCACGGGCCGTATGTTTGACACCCCGATGTAGGCTATAGTGGTGAGGAGCAAAATGCCGTTGTCACAGCATAGGCAGCAACAGCTGCAGTAAACATAATACAATTCTCATCAGTAGCAGAAAAACTTCACTGATTGTTGCCCTGGTTTTGTGTGTGTGTGTGTGTAAGCCACGCGCCTCCTCCTGCTCAGAGCAGACACATGCACATACACGCAGAAAGTGCATCTAGAGCACAGAAGTTATGGGGAGAGAGAGAGATAAGAAAGGGGGTTTTGGCCTGAGCTCCAGACAGCAGCCAGCTCCAACTGTACTCTTCAAAGAGCTTTCCCCAGGAGCTGCTTCATTTGTGACTGTTGTGGAAATTCTGCTCCCCCAGAATGAAAGAGACTACAGCCAGCCGACAAGGTGTTTTATTTTCGTTGCGTAGAAAAGGTCAATCGTCATTCAAGTGGCTCGAGTGAAGAAGGACCCTGAGCATGGGGAATCCTGAACAATTCTACCTGAGGAACGCCCCCTGGGAGGTGCCGTTTGCTTTGTTGGGACCGGTGCTGAACCAGGATGTGGGTTCAAACCGGTTTGTCTGTTGCAGGACATTTGGCACCAACCCCCATTGTGCGCCCCACACCTGAGACACTCTGCAAGGTCCTGTATTTGGGTGAGGCTGGAAGGTCTAGACATTAAATAACAAAAGGACCTGGTCTTCCTGATGATGGTGGGAGGTGGGGCACCCCAAGGAGCTGAACCTCTAGGCATCACAAAGACATCTGGATTTACAATTCTATGTGTCACAAAAGGGTTTGGAGTCTCTATTTACATTTGTATATTACAAATGGTTTGGGATTTCCATTACATGAACGACCCATCACTGGTATCCAGGACCAGTGTGCAGTGCCAGTGAGTAACTCTGAAAATTGTCCTTCAAATGTCTATGAATGAATTATATTAACATATCATTGTGTGGTTCTATAGTACTACCATTATCACGCCTACCTTACACACAGAAGGTCCTGGGTTCCATCCCCAGAAGAACCACGTACTAAATGGCGCCCCCTGTGTCAGTCCAACAAACCCATAACCTAGTTAAGAAGTAAAGTCTTTGTAGATGCTGTACTCTCACTGGGATAAAGGCCTCATCAAACGGTGCAGTAAATGTAACATTGTCATTTGGGCTCCTGGTGAAAACTGTGTTCCTGTTCAGAGCACTACAGTAATGATACCCACAGCTGACTGTTTTTGGAGGTGTGGTACTCCGCCCACTAACTTGATTTCACTGAGGTTTGGGTTAAATTGAGCCAAGAGGGTAGAACGGAGTTTGCTTACGACGGGACATTTTATTTCTGGCCAGTACGTTGACTGCTACATGGCTCTGCTTTCAAAAACATGGAGTCCCTTTGTATCTGTGATAATTTTATTATTTAGTATTATTGGCTGACTTTCAGTCATAGTATCTCATCGCTTTGTGCCACAGACATTCAATGTCAACAACACCAAACCAGAAGTTGAAAAAAAATGGCAAGTCTATTATATAAGGCTTGAGAAATAAGGTGCTCTAAATATATATATATATTGGCAGTGTATGATGTCAAGGTTAAGTTAAACTCAGGTCCTTCCCTGCCACCTCATGGCCGGTAAGAGACACACATCCAAAACTGGAATATTAAATGACCTCACCAAAGGAGAAACAGAGAGAAATAGAGAGACAGAGAGTAAAAGAGAGAGAGAGAAAGAGAGAGAGAGAGAGAGAGAGAGAGAGTCAGTGTGTTTGCTGGCTTCAACCACAGCTGCACACCTAAAACCATATGCTCGTCATAGACTTTTATGTACGAGTGTAAGGTAGGCAGGGCTTAGCTGGAGAAG